AATCTTTTGTCAAAGGACAGATTTACTACCAGGAAAAAAGCAGATATGAATAATCAGGATAACAAGAAGGTAGTTAAAATTCTGTTTGATGAGTTATTTAATAGCCATTGACTCCATGGCATTAGTCATCAAGAATTCTACTCATTTCATAAGAGGGAGGAGGAAATATCCTTTAGGAGCACATGCCTTTATAAGGATTGTGTATGGACTATTAAGTCTTGTACTGAAGTACTTCAGAATCCACTACTTCCTACCTTGCCTCAAGAAAAAAAAAAACTGTTGAAATGGAAAAGTGTTCATGAGTTCTCTGCTAAGAAATTAAGAAAGATAAACTGGGAAAAGAACAAGAAAGTACTATAGTTATGTTCTCTGTGTGCTCAAAGAAGAAGAAGAAAAATCTACCTTACCCAGCTAGCTACTTACCAACCAATCAAACTTCTAATTCTTCTGGCTTTGATTCTGGAACTTCCTTTCCAGAATTCATTGCCATCACCCTGAGAGTCTATAAAACCATAGACAATGGGTGGGCTTTTTTTACAAGGCAATTATATGTGTTGTTAATTCAGGGTAGTTTTGCTGAATTGCCATTAACATTCACCTTCTGAACCCCCCCCCCAAAAAAAAGCATGATAAGAAATGGCACATGTTCCAGATATAATAGACATGACATTGATTGATTCACATGCTTAATATATAATCTGAGTTTGAATTTTCATACAGACAAGAAATGCTTTGAAAAGTTCTGGACTGAGCTCAGATTATTTTATTCATTCATTTTCTCCCTCCCTCTCTCTCTCTCTCTCTCTCCCTCTCTCCCTCTCTCTCTCTCTCTCTCTCTCTCTCTCACACACACACACACACACACACACACACACACACACACAAATATAGAGAAAGGAGGGAGGGAGAGAGGAAGGAAGGAAGGAAGGGAGGGAGGGAGGGAGGAAGGAAGGAAGGAAGGAAGGAAGGAAGGAAGGAAGGAAGGAAGGAGTGAGTTTCGGTCATTCAAAGCACGAGAGAGTACCGCTGCTATCTGCACATAAAGGGGAAAAAATGTTATGTTTGAATGGAGTACAATTAACTCCAGTATCATTCTTCTTGTTCTTATTAGTGCACCACAAAAGTGCACCACATAATAAATCCTTGTCATAATTTATTGAAGCAGATGGCACACACATTTTAGGCAGCCACACACTAATGACCGTGCCACTTTTTTTTCATTCTTCTGGTGTCTTAAGATCATATAATTGTAATACATTTTCTTTAAACTATGAGCCTGAAAATTAAGGCACCTACTCCATCAGCTTGGCTGAAAGATTTAATGTACAATAGCTGTAAATTCTGGATAGGTTCATCATTTCTCTAAAACATTGGCATATTTTTTTTCGCCTGGAGGTTCTGTCCAGTTCCTTCTGTAGTGTCAGAGGCAAACTCAAAAGATTGCAATAATTATTCCTCATTATTCCTCTTATCAATGATGGTCCTAGTCTCTCTTGTCTTTTTCTCCCCCTCTTCCTCGATTGATTGATTGATTTAAATTTATTCTTTTATTTAAATTTTGTTATCATCTGCTTCAAACCACACACTAATGACTGTGTCACTCTTTGTTTCATTCCTCTGGTGTTTTCAGATCATACTGTATAATTCTAATACATTTTCTTTAAACGATGAATCTGAAAATCAAGGCATCGACTCAATCAGCTTGTTTGAAAGATTTAATGTTCAATAGCTATAAATCCTGGATAGGTTCATCATTTCTCTAAATCATAAACAAGACATATTATTTCCTGAAGTTTCTGTCCAGTTCCTTCTGTGGTGTCAGAAGCAAACGCAATGGATTGCAACAATTATTCCTCATTATTCCTCTTATCAATAGTCTTCCTAGTCTCTTCTGTCTTTTTCCCCTTCTTTCTTTCTTTCTTTCTTTCTTTCTTTCTTTCTTTCTTTCTTTCTTTCTTTCTTTCTTTCTTTCTCTCTCTCTTTCTTCCTTCCTTCCTTCCTTCCTTCCTTTCTTTTTTCTTTCTTCCTTCCTTCCTTCCTTCCTTCCATCCTTTCTCCCTCCCTCCCTCCCTTCCTCCCTCCCAGCTTATTTTTTAATCAAAGCCTTATTTTTTAATCAAACTGGATTTAATGTGTTGCCTGTCCTCCAGAAACAATTTGCAAATACCGAAATGGAATGAAATGCATTTAAAATGCAAAACTTTTTTTTACTTACCAGTTAAAACTGAAGAAAGTGAATTTCACTGGGGAAAAAAAAAAAGCCTTAACATTATAGAATCAGCAGGCAAGAAAGACAACAGATTCTGCCAGCTCTCATTAAAACAAGAATAGCAGAAATGCTTTAGAAAATATTATGCTTTTCACTTGCTGGCAGAATTCAGCAGTGCATTCCAAATGAGAATATTATAACCATTCCGAGTAAGAAAAAGGTTTCTAATCTTTTACCTAACAGAATAAAATTGGTAATGAAGCAGAACCAGATGTTAAATACATGGTAGACAAGGAGGTTTGGGCTGGAATCTGCCTGCAGGAAGACCTGCTGGGGGAGGGAGCAAATGAGAGGATTAAAAATTCAAAATGGTGGCCCAGAACCATGCAACTGAAATGGCCATATTGACATTTTTGTCTCTTCTCTGGAGACCACCCATGTCTTCATCCAAACTATTTAAGAGCTGTGGTGGCACAGTGGTTAGAGTGCAGTATTACAGGCTACTTCTGCTGACTGCCGGCTGTCTGGAATTTGGCTGTTTGAATCTCACCAGGCTCAAGGTTGACTCAGCCGTCCATCCTTCCGAGGTCGGTAAAATGAGGACCCAGATTGTTGGGGGGCAATAGGCTGACTCTGTAAACCACTTAGAGAGGTCTGTAAAGCACTGTAAATAAGTATACCACTTATATAAGTGGTATATAAGTGGTATATAAGTGCTATTCAATTAAGACAAAAAAAGACACTTATAATATTTATAAAGGAGGTCCTGATTTCATGAAGTATGGTCATACATGATGATGGAACCTCTTGAGATACCATAATGCAAGATATTGTATGGCAAGAAGGAATGTGAAACCCTAGGGGTGGAGTAAAAAGGGGGAATCAGCCTACAATCCCTGTGCATGAAATAAGACCAACAATTCAGTGATGCAGTGGATGTGATTTGCCGGTGCCTGGAGGCAGTGAGGGTCTGGATGGGAGTCAACAGGCTCAGACTTAACCCAGACAAGACCGAGTGGCTGTGGGTATTGCCTCCTAAAGACTATGTTGATTGTCCATCCTTGATTCTGGGGAGAGGGGAGAAATTGTCCCCCTCAGAATGGGCTCGCAATTTGGGTGTCCTTCTAGACTCACAGCTAAGATTAGAGCAACATCTGACAGCTGTGGCTAGGGGGACCTTTGCACAAGTTCGCCTGGTGCACCAATTGCGACCCTACTTGGATCGGGAGGCTCTCCTCACAGTCACTCACGCCCTTGTCACTTCACGGTTAGATTATTGCAACGCGCTCTACATGGGGCTACCCTTGAAAAGTGTTGGGAGACTACAGTTGGTCCAGAATGTAGCCGCGCGAGCTATCGTGGGTGCACCTAGATACACCCACATTACACCAATTCTCTGCGAGCTGCACTGGCTCCCTATTGGTCTCTGGTCACAATTCAAGGTGTTGGTTATTACCTTTAAAGCCCTACATGGCTCAGGGCCAGGGCCAGGTTATCTTTGAGACCGCTTTCTATCACATAGCTCCCAGAGACCGGTAAGATCCCACAGAGTTGGTCTCCTCCAACTCGGGTCCCGTCAGCTAAACAATGCTGGCTGGCGGGCCCGCGGGATAGGGCCCATCAGCCTCTGTGGCTGTCCCAGTTCTCTGGAACTTGTTATCTCCTGAGGTCCGTACCACCCCCACCCTATTGGCCTTCCAAAAAGCGGTGAAGACCTGGCTTTTCCGTTGATCTCACTGTTGCGATCTTGTGAGATCCGGCCATAAATGGTATGAATGGGTTTTAATATCTTAATTTTTAAATGTTTTTATAATGGTTTTTTTAAAATGTATTGTAAGCCGCCTTGAGTCTCTGGAGAAAGGCGGCATATAAATTAAACTAATAAATAATAAATAATAAAAACTGTTCCCTCTCTTTCTTTTAAAGCATAGCAATTAAAGTATAAAGCGGGCAAGAGATGATGGATGGATGCTTCCTTTCTTCTGTCGCTGCTTTGAGTTGTCTTTCCTTCACTCTCCCACTCTACTCTTTTCTTTTCTTTTCTCTCTTTTTTAGGAAGGTGACAGGATTAGCAGTTAGATATGAAAGAAAAAAAGCCTTTTAATATAGGGTGACATGATTAAAAGCTAGAATAAGTGATAGAAATAAAGGGAATATTAACGTATACATTTGTATTTGATAAAGAGAAAGTAATAGTGAGAAATAGGTGGACTACTTGAATAAGGATAGATTGTAACCTAACATAGATGTGTATGGTTATTAGAGATACATAGGTTGATTGAATGTAATAATGATGTTTGATTTGATCAATTTCATTCGTATTGGAATGTATGGTGCCCAGGTGCCACTCTGTTCACGCATTGATTTGACATTTTTATCAGTGGTGGTATTCAGCCGGTTCTATCAGGTTCAGGCGAACCTGTAGCGGCACCTGTGGGAGGCTCTGCCCACCCGCCTGGACGTCATCACACCCTGTTTTTGATGCTCTGTGCATGCACGGAAGGCGTACACACTCACATTTGTGAACCGGTAGTGAAGGTAAGTGAATACCACCCCTGATTTTTATATTAAAAAATAAAAAATAAAAGACCAACTATTCTTGAGTGCTGTTGACCTTTATTTAACCTGAACCATAAGCTTACTCTTAGTTGAGAATGTTCTTGCGCATAGGCTTTTAGCAATAAATCAGCTTGAAGGCGTGTGCGCTACTGGTTGGTTGAGGAAAAGATCACACAGGCATAGTGGCTGCTTTTGAACTCAGCTGGGGTCAGAGTGCCAGGGTATCTGGCACATATCTCACAAGAAGTTGAGGATGGAAAAGATCTATTTAACAATGATGAATGCGGATATGGATGCTGTTGAGACTGAAAATCAAGTAGAATTAGAAGAAAAATCACGACTGATCAATCAGGTTTTGGAAGTGCAGCATACACTTGAAGATCTGTCTGCAAGAGTAGACACCGTTAAAGAAGAAAATTTGAAATTGAAATCAGAAAATCAGATTCTTGGACAATATTAGTCTTTTTTAGTTTTTTAGCTTTTTAAATTGTCAATGGGTTTTAATTTGAATTGTTTTAAATTTGGGCCAAAGTTATGTAATTCTTTTAATAATTTTAAATTTTGTATTGGTATGCGTTTTAGTTCTGGCTGTGCACCACCCTGAGTCCACTAGGAGAAGGGCGGTATACAAATTGAATAAAATAAATAAATAAATAAATATATAGAAAACCTCATGTCTGCCTCTAGTGTTTTTCAGACTCCTGACACAAAAAGCAAAAGAAAGTAAGGCGCTGCTCGCCAAGCAATACCATTGTACTGCTACTGCTTTTGTTTGATTTTAAATTACATAAGGCTACACAATACTCTAGTTAGTATCATCATTGAAGTTATGAAAATTTAATGTTAGTTCTAGACATTTTAATTTTTTTTAATGAATTGGACAGTACAAGTCTGTAATGTCAGCTTTCAACAACATAGGATAGAGAAAATATATTTATTACTACCACAGTCTTTATACAAGTGCTTTTGAAAATCAGTTCTGCTTTTATGGTTAGTATCATACATGGCCAAGTACTGTAATTATCATGGTTTTTATAGTATTACCATTTGCTAGCAACATAATACAGTGTTGTGCAGAGTGGTATGAAAATACTTATTTGGAATGAATTATTTGCATGACTTCTGTTAGTTTTCAAAAAAGTTGTACATTCTCCATCTCTTCTGCATCCTCTGGGAAAATCTATGCTAATTCTTCCAGATGAAGACATTGTCACTGCGTTCTTTTTATTTACCAGCTGAGCTCTCATTTCTGGACTATCAGACTTTCCGTAGCTTGCCACGAATCCTTATCAGTAAGCTAAACTGCGCATGTCATCCACCCACATTCCTTCACACCACTTTCCTTTCTTCTCCTGCCAAGAAAAGGTCCGGCTGAGAAATAGCCGGCACGAACTTTTGCAAAAATGTAACAATTAATTTTTTTAGATAGTTAGATGTTTTATTTTCTTTATAACAAATAAATGAGTTTTCTTAGAAGATATATCTTCGGGTTTTGTTTTCTTAAAGTATGCTGGCAAGGAAAAGTCTCGATCCACTCCTCTTAATCAAGGTGCGATTATCCCAAAGCAGAATGGGATTAATCAGCGCCCTGACAGACATAACTTAGCTTGTTGAGTGGTGGAAGTTAATTCTTTTAAATGAGAGTGTATAATGTATTGCTTGCAAAATTGTAAAGAGGAAAAAGAGCACTCTATAGCTTGATATACCACTCTGGAATTAATAAATTATAATTTTAAAAATGTCAAAAAAAGAAAAAGAAAAGAAGAAGCAATAAATCAGCTTAATTGAACCTTCACATGTGGACCTTGTCTTTTGCTTCTGACACATATTCAACCATGCAAGGTATACTTAAGATCCAAAATATACTCCTTAGTTCTCTTTAATTCTCCTAGTTAAATGATGTTGTATGATGTTAGGTAGCTGTGATTATCCCACAATCTTGATTTTCTGGTGTTTTTCTTTTGATTTCCCATTTAATGTTCCAAAATTGGTCATGTTGCTATGTTTGTACGCCACCCAGAGTCATGCTACATGAGATGGGTGGCCACATCCATTGGCAAACAAATTAATTAGATAGTTAATTAATCACCCTAAGTTGCTTTCACAGTGTGCATTACTATAAATGTCCATGACTTTATTTAGCTCTATTGCTACATTATGAGAGTCGAGAAGTAATAAGCGATGATAAAAGATAAAGTTCTGGATCTCTGCATTCTCCTATATCCTGTTGAGAGTGGTCTCTTGCTGATTTTATAGCTGTATTCACAGAAAACAAATAGAACTTCCCACAAGGAGGAATGAAACCCACTGAGTTTTTATGAGCGAAGCTCCCTTTGTGAAATTATACAATCTTTTAGCAGGTAGGAAGACTAAATGAGGAAGGACAACCTCATAGTTCACAGGAACTGAAGTCACATCCATGTTTCCCTGGTTAGAAGGTTGATAGCTTCTAAATGAGAAAAGCAATATTTGTTTGTTTGGTACTTCAACACTTTTTTTCCCCTTAATGTTTTCAAAACAAGAGAGGTTTCTACTTATCCAATTCTTTTTTTTTTTTTTTGCAACAGGAAAGGACACTTATGTCCAAAGAGTTTGGAAAGGGTAAAGGGTAAAGGTTCCCCTTGCACATATGTATTAATTGTTCCCGACTCTAGGGGGCAGTGCTCATCTCCATTTCAAAGCCAAGCAGACAGTGCTGTCCGAAGACGTCTCCGTGGTCATGTGGCTGGCATGACTAATTGCCAAAGGTGCACAGAACACTGTTACCTTCCTATCAAAGGTGGTCCCTATTTTTCTAGTTGCATTTTTACATGCTTTTGAACTGCTAGGTTGGCAGAAGCTGGGTCAAGTAACAGGAGCTCACCCCATTATGTGGCACTAGGGATTTGAACCGCTGAACTGCCGACCTTTCGTTTTGAAAGAGTGGGACTTTGAAAGCACCAATGCACTAGAATTCATATGAAACTCACTTTTTACGACCCAGTAATCCCTTAATTTGGGGTAGAGTCTGGGCGACTGGATGGAACTAGCATTTACTGGCCAGATGCCCTTCCTGACACCACAGTGGGGTTCACAGCCATTTTTTTTTTGTGCCCTAGGAGAGAAAAATCTACTGCTACTTAGAATTGAACTCTCAACCTTCCTAGTGAGAGGCGAGCATCTTCACCACTAGACCACAAGGACTCACATCGACACAACATACCCAGATGCAGTTCCCCATCCCCTTGCTTAATAATCACTCATAGGCATAACCATACATATAACGTTTGCATCATAACAAGGTGATAAGATGTAAGAAATATAACATTGCTCCCGAGCAGACCTTCTGTTGTGACTCTGACCCCCGAGCCCATCTTATCGGAGGGAGAAGACTCCGAAGGTGAAGGAGAGGAATTGGCCAGGCCTCCCTCTCCAGAACCCTCCTCTCTGGCAATGCCTCAGGTGTCTCCCGAGGGAGAAGAGATTGGCCAGGAGCCAGGTATCTCCAAACAGTTGCAGTCGGACAGTGACGGAGATAAGTCTTGGCTGGATCCACGCCAGCATCAGAGAGACAAGCGCACGCAGCAGAAAAGTAGGCATGCCAGAGATTAAGCTGAGTCACTGGACCACACCCCACAGGGGATAAAAGGGGTGTGGTGGCCATTCAGGCTCTGTGACGGACAAAACTAAACAACTAGCGAGTCACATGGTATCTCTGAAACTACGTTATCTGTTTCTTTACATTTCCAACAGGCCGGATTTACATTCGGATACATTTTTGCTAACCTTGCGGGTGCCAAAAAAAAACACAGGGAACTTTTTACCATGCTTGGTGGCTTTGCCCAGAAATTAAGGGATATTGGAACAAAATAAAAACATGGATATTAGAAATAACAGATTACAAAATTGAATTAAAACCCGAAGTCTTTTTACTAGGCATGATTAATAAGAATATTAGAAATGATATAAAATATTTAATACTCCACATTATAACGGCGGCTAGATTAGCGTTAGCACAACTTTGGAAAATAGATCACTTGCCAACTGACCAGGAATTAATACAAAAAATTTATATATGCGCAGAGATGGACAAACTAACTCTAGAGTTACAGGATAAGGAAGACTCAAAATACTTCAAAATATGGAATAGCTGGTACCAGTGGATAAATCAGAGGAGGGGGAATGGTTAAAGATGAAATTCAGAAGAAATCAATATAATAAACAACTGCACTGTCAGAGAGAGAAAAGGAAATAAGCCACTGTGCGTATGTATATATGTATATATAATAATGGAAAGTAGTCAATAGATGAAGTTGAGTACTGTATATGTACTGTATATGTATATGTAATTTGTGTTTTTGATTAAGAGAAACTTGTTTATTTTTCTTATATTTGTTTTAAATGTTTTTTAAATACGAATAAAGTTTGTTTTTAAAATTAAAAAAAAAAAGAAACTACGTTATCTGCCTGCCTTGGATTTAATACGGACTGGTCTTGACAATTCTTTGACTTTGTGTATTTGTTTTGGTTTATCTGACGGAGGAGGAACACCTCCCTCTGTGAGTAAAGTTCTTGGCAAGCAGCTACTGGGTTGCTGCCAATCCTGTTATTGAAGGAATTTATTGTCTGCAAGTTTTATTTAACCCCTGGCTGACTGTTTGTGTGCGTGTGTGAGATGGGACAGAACACCTTCTTTTAACTCAGAATAATTTTGCCATTACAAGATAAACAATCTGCTCCTGTCCATAAGGAAAGCCTCTCCTTCCCCGTTTCCTGCTTTCCTTTTTCCCAGATGGTCTTTGATGGGTCCATGTAGTCTTGTCCATCTGGCAACACATGTAATGATTACCTTCAATGGGCTCTGTCTTTTCATGCCAAGGCACATCCGGATTCTGCATGCAAAACTTACTCTGATTCAAAGGGAACGAATGGCTCTAGCTTAGCTGCTAAACTGACAGCTGAATTAAACGCTGCTTCATTTGGTCATATTAGTTATATTGTTCTACAGGCAATAACCATTTGTTACTCTCTAGAGCATACATTCAAGTTTTCACTGTGAAACAGCCTTTCATGGTTTTTTGGAAAGTTAAGTGAGAAACTATTTTTGCCTCCTCTTCTTTCTCCTCTTTTCATCTCTCTTCTGCTGCCTCCTCCTCTTTTTTTTTTTTTTCCTCTAAAGTTGAAGGCTATCTTTAGAATACATTAAGAATTCACTTAGGAACTAACAAAGCCAAAACCTGAATTACAGCTAAGCCTCTAGAATTACATTTTAGTAAAGTATTTTTCAATGTAATCAATGTTAATCGGTACTTGTAATAAAGAAAGCAGAGTTAAAATGATATCTGTCTGTCTATTATCTATCTGTCTGTCTGATCTATCTATCTATCTATCTATCTATCTATCTATCTATCTATCTATCTATCTATCTATCATCTACCTACCTACCATCTACCATCTATCTATCTATCTATCTGTCTGTCTGTCTGTCTGTCTGTCTGTCTGTCTGTCTGTCTGTCTGTCTGTCTGTCTATCTATCTATCTATCTATCTATCTATCTATCTATCTATCTATCTATCTATCTATTATCTATCTATTATCTATCTATCTGTCTATCTGACTGTCTGACTGTCTGTCTATCATCTATCATCTATCATCTATCATCTATCATCTATCATCTATCATCTATCATCTATCATCTATCTGTCTGTCTGTCTGTCTGTCTATCTATCATCTATCTATTTATTTTAT